AGCTAAAAAGTGAGGGGAATTGATGGAGATGCAGCATTATGGTCAGTGAAAATATCTTGTGAAAGCTTGGAGCTGGGAGACCATGAGAACTTTAGCAAACTGCAGGTATGCAAGTGTGAGGGGTTGTAGTTAGACAGGGCTGGAGAGAGAATTAGGATCCAGATATGTATGACTTTGAATGCTATGCATCTGGACGTGGAGGTTATTTTTGTGCCTTTGGGAGCTTCTGAATGGTTTCATGCAGAAGAGTTATTTAACATGATAAAAATTGTGGAATTAGAAAACTTATTTTGATTGTGATGTGGAAAATGGATTGGAGCAGTGCAAAACTTGAGGTTGGTAGACAAATTAGAATGCTCTTCCTTTAACCCAGACAAGAAATGTTAGGGGGCCTAAAATAAGGTATTAGAATGGAGCAAAGTAGATGGTATAGGGAGACACTGGAAGTTGAATCTGTAAGATTTTGTGATGTTAGATGTCAGGTGTGAAGCAGAGGGAGGAATCAACAAAGATTAAATTGCTGCATTTGGTTCTAATACCTACCAGTTTACCAGGAAATTTATTAGACTTCTCTGAGTTTCTCGTGTTCTGTTTATAAATTATAAATTACGCAGTGTAGGTTTATAAATTTTATAAATTATGCAGTGTAGGTTTAAAGTAGTAATTGTTTTTATCACCTAATTAGCCAGATTTTAAACACTGCACTTTTGCTTTAGCAGAAAGAGCCAAATAATAACAACAAAAAACTAGTGTGAAGGGAATCATTTAAAAAACCAAAAAGTCGGAAAGCTGTGTCCTAGTAATTAAAAAGTACCATATTAGACATCAGTATCCTTTTCCCCTGCTAAACTGAGAATAACTTTCCTGATGTTGCTTCAAAGGCTTTATATTTTTGAAAAAGGGTTCAGTTATGTTTATTATGCTGTTTTACAATAAGAGAAACGTGTACTAAATTTTAGATTTGAAAATATCAATAAATTAAAAGAGTCTTCTGTTTGACCTGGAATTATCTGGAAAATAGAATCAGCTGGAACCTATCTCCTGAACCCAGGATTGTTGAAAGTTTTGCTTTACTTTGTATATGAATGCAGAATAGTTTGAGGATGCTTTTTGTGTACAGATAGAGCTTTTACCCATAGTGTCTTTTTTTTTGTTTTGATGTGGGCCATTTTTAAAGTCTTTATTGAATTTGTTACAATATTGCTTCTGTTTTATGTTTTGGTTTTTTGGCCACTGAGGCATGCATGTGGGATCTTAGCTTCCAACCAGGGATTGAACCTGCACCCCCTGCACTGGAAGGCGAAGTCTTAACCACTGGACCGCCAGGGAAGCCCCATGCCCATTGTGTCTTGAAGCAATGATTTTTTTGTTTTCTTCAGAAACAGTCACTGATTTGTTCAGAACCAGCTGAGGAAAGTAAACTAAGTAGCTTCCCATACTGATGAGTAGCAGGACTCTCATCCAGTGAGTACAGAATTCAGGGTTGGTAAGTAGGCTGTATGTAGCAAGTGAGAAGGAAGAGGTGGGGCCTGAATTGTGGGTGGTGGAGCCAGTATTGGACACTACTGTCACTGTAGAAATAAATTGGGTGTTTAACATCAGGGAGGACTACTTGAATTTGCCTGTCTTTGTTATAGATTTTACTTCCCTTCCCTGCCCAAGAAGAACCCTGCTTACCAGCTGTAAAGAGTACTCGGATCATCTGATCCAGTGAAGGGCACTGGAGGTACAAGTGCACATTTTTGCAGTATTGTAGTGCCAGTATTAGTTCTGTATCATACAGGTTCAGAGAATGAGTGATGACCACAGGATAGGACAACCAAGGGCAGGCAGGAAAGGAACAAACTTGATAGTTGGGCGTGCGGGCTGCCCATTTTATCACGTATTGCGAACCTTAACTGAGTGCTTACTATTTGCCAGACTCTGTTCTAGTGTGTTTCAGCTGTTACTAATTTCATCTTCTTAATAACCCTATGAGATATTATGTCCATCTTACAGATGAGGAAACCTAATTCCATAGAGGCATACTGGTAGGTAATGCGTTCACTGTCACTGAGCCAGCACTGGAGCCCATGCCTTTGGGCTCCAGTATCTATGCTCTTAGCTGCTGGACTTTGCTGTCTCACAGGTGGGTGCTACAGACCATTAACAGATAAATTGGGCCTGCAGAAAAAGTATCCAAGTTTTTTAGCTCCTTTTTACATTGTTGTGATCTACTTATTTGGTTATAGCAGCATCACCTACCTCTCCCATCATACTCTCTATAAAACAGAATTTTTTACTGTTTTATTCTTCAGTTGGATGATAGAGCTCACTTAATGTAAGCTGTGCTGAAATAGAGGAGTAGAAGAAATGGTTACTGGTTCTGTTGGCTTCTTTCCTCTTTCTCCATTTCTTGAACTGCTGCTGTTTTAGAATTATGTAGCTTAATACTGTCCTGCAACCCTTTGCTCGTCAGATGATTGTTGGTCTTTTTCTTGTTGGTTCAGTTTTTTTTTTTTTTTTACTACAAAAATTTTTTCTACCTATAGCCCTACAGGGAAGTTACACTGTGGGATGTGTCAGTGCCATTGAATTTGGAGCTCTTGGGCTGGCCAAAAAGTTCGTTTGTGTTTTTCTGTAACATCGCGCGGCAAAACCCGAATGAACTTTTAGGCCAAGCCCAACACATAGGACCTTTTTATCTCTTTAAAAGTAGTTTTGTATATGTGCTGAAAGAACATATTGGAGCTAGGTGTACTTAATAGTTTATTGTTGAAACTGATAATAGAGATTTTTAATGTCTAGTACATAATATATGCTCAATTAAATATTTTGGGATGAATGAGTGACAAGTGAAAAATTAATTTTAAAGGCAGTTTGATTTTACTTGGAAGGTCATTTAGTAGAATTTGCTTTTCATAGTAAGAAAACTTAAGCATACTGATTAGTTAAAACACGAGATTGTTTTGTGGCAGTTTATCGAAGTGTTGGATTTGTAGCAGCTAAAGAATTTTTAGAAGTTTTGCTTTGTGTAAACATGTATCTCTCTGTACACAGTCCATCCATAATATGTATATATAAATATGTATTACAATATTACTAATGAACTAACATTGCCTGTTAGTTTTTTCAAGGTAATGAACCTTTTAGATAGCAGTGTTTTTTCTCTCTGAATATCTTTTGCAAATATACTGTTACACGTTTGAAAGAAAAGACATGTTAAAAGTTTCCTTCTAGTCTTCTTATAATCCAGTCTCCATGAGCCAGCACTCTTCCTGTATTTTGTTCGCGAGGCACTAATTGTCCGCATTTGGCAGGTTTAACACTTCCTGACAGAGAGGCTATTAAGGGGAAGTATTCTCCAATAACTGTCACTGGCTTGAACAAAGAACCTTCAAACTCAATGTGTGGAAACCACTAACATTATTAAATGACCCTTTTCATGGATTTTTATCCCTTTAAGCTAAAATTTGGAGAATGTAAGGTCAGTGAAAACAGCAAGGTGTAATAAAGCAGTAAACCTTGATTTTTTGTGGGGGTAGAATGGAAAGTATAGATTTGTCTCTGACTTGAAAACAATTGTTATTTGGAAAATCTCATTAGCAGATGTGACTGCTTGGAGTTAAAAAAAAAAAAAAAAAAGACTTAAAACTGATGTTGCTTTCAGGACTGCTTTGAACTTAACAAGCACCTATTTGTGGAGCAGACTGGCTAATGAAAGGAAATTAAATTTTTCTGACAACTTCCCCTGCCAACCTCCTTATTCAGGGGATGTTATTAGGTACTGAAGACTTTTAAGGAAGATTTTTATTTTTTTATTAGACATGAATGAAGCAGTTATAAACATCCCCCGCCCTCCCATTTTGGGGGAGGATGCTGACATGGTTACTCTACATTTTTAAAGTATTAGCTTAAAAAATACCAACCTTTACTTTGATATTTTAAAGTTATTTTCTAAAAATTCAGGCATTCTTACCAGCTGATGGTTTCAAAACATTATTGTCATTCCCTGTAATAGTTTAGTGTATGTCACTGAATTATTTAAAAAGTTAAATTTACTAGGATTCACTTGGACTTAAAATCTTTTCAGCTTTCTCTTTACTGTTATCTGGGGGAAATGTCCTGTGTTGGACGTGTTAGGTGAGAATTAATGATCAATGAAATGGTTTAGATTCAAGGGAAGTTTTGGTCCATTCAGTGGCGTTGGTTGATATTTAGCAGTAAGTAATCCTTACATTCATAAACTTTTACCTTGTGCTGTTTTATTTATTTTTATTTTTAAAATTTTTATTGAAGTAGAGTTGATTTACAGTGTTACCTTGTACTGTTTTAGAATGCCTTTTCTTTCCTTGGCTTTTTGGAAGTTTTGCCCCCACTAGATGGTTCATTGAATTTCAGGTTTTAATTTACGTTAACAAGATGTAACTGGTAAAGATAAAATATGTACCCCCAAAAAAATGAAATAAAAAAGAAAAAAGAAAAAGTAATGGAGATTACTAAAGGAATTTTTTGAGGGGAACAATTGGCAATTCCTATAGATACTAGAAATTTACTTTTTTGTTTCTGGAAAATCTGTTGATCTCCTCCCAAACAATAGAGAATCAACTCCCCCTGCTGACAGAATCAAGGAAAACATGACATATAAATATCAGAGACAGAAACAAGCTGGCTGTGGACAAGCTTTAATGATCTGATTTATGATTCAGTATTGATTGTAAACATCTAAATTCTGCCATTAAATTCCAGCAACTGCACCAAATCACTTGGCAATTCTGGTAGTGCTTCCTGCCAGCTCATTTCAAACTGCTTTGAGTTTCTTAATATAATAAGGATGAGGTAGAATTTACATTCCACTTATGGTATTAATTTTACATTTCTCTGAATAAAAAGAGTTAGAAGGTTGTAAAATTGAACATTAAATGAATTGGAGGAGGCAGTAGTGCAATATATGACTGCCCTAAAGACATTGTGCAATGGTTGATGGGATTAATGTTGGGTCTCATTTCCTGCTTTTACAGGATGCAGATGAAGCTGTCAGAATTGCAAGGGAAATTGGTAAGTTCTTAAATTAACTTTGGTAGGATTTCTATGTCTTTTAGCAGATATGGTTGAGTAAACGTGTAATATGGTAATTCCTGAAGAGCAAATAATAGTTTAATAGTTTCAGGTTTCTGATTACTTGTTCCTCTGGAAGAATTTATCAGCGGAATTACCATATTTTATTATTAAAGGGAACTTTAAAGAGTAATTTGACCTTAATTATAGTTCCTTTGTAAGAGAAAATCACTGGCTAATTAAAAGAAGGAATTGTCTTAATAGTTCTTGAGATTGGATGTAATGTAAATTTATATATATGTAGTTGAATGCAACTTACTAAAGGACATACGTGATTAACATGAAGATTTCGTATTTGACAAGGCTCTTCAAGTTTTTACCTTTTCCTAAGAATTTAAATATCAACTTAAAAATCTTGCTAGGAAAGAGAAAATAGGATGTGAGAACAGAATATTCTAAATTGGAGTAAAAGGTAAACTGAAGGACGCTTTAATGACTGTTTTACTTGCCTGTTGTATGTATAATTATACTGGGGCAGTGCTCCCAGACTTTTTATTTTCAAAAATATTCCTGGCACTCTTGACATTGTATTTTCAATACCTGTTAATTAAGAAAATGCATGGGCATACTGTTATCATAGATTAGTAATGCTATTAAGTAATTTTACAGTTTTATTAATCAGTTCATATTTGTTTACATTTGACAAAAATTTGTAGGTAGATGAGAGAAATTAGACAATGCTTGGTAGTTAGGAAATCACAGCATCTTAGCATTCCTGCACTGATGGGGCCAAGCTTTTCAGCATCCCACATTAACATTTCTTTAGTCCTGTTTTCTCTGATTATTTAGAATTATTTTATTCATTTGGAGAGCATTTACTTTGGCTGATTTGACTGATACAGGTCCTGGACTTAAGACCAAGCCCTAGAAAATCTTATTTTATCTGACTATAACATCTCTTCATTAATCATTTCTTCAGGCTTCAAAAAGCATCAAAAAGCATCTCAGTACTTCTCAGGAAGATTTGCTAGATTCTGAATATAGGTTGGACTACATGGAACTGATTTGTGGTTTATGTCTTTAAGAAAATCAAAAGCTTCTCTCTCTGGTTTGAAATCACTGCATTCCTCATAGCCTAAGAGGCTATAACATGTCTGCTGGCTTTTGAGGAGACTTTCCTAAAATAATTTTATTCTGTTGTGTACTTGTAAATGTCAAAAGTCATCTTTCTAGTTCTAGTTTAGATATTATTATCATCTGTATAACAGGACATAATAATGCTGTTATCACAATAGTATCTACATAAAAAGAACAGAATATTTGGAGGAATTTAGAGAAATAAAAAGGGGTTAGGAGAAAATCTTGAATTCTGTTGGTGTGTCACAATTTTAATTATGAATCTTCAGCTCTTGAGAATTCCCTTTGTATAAGTGGCAGGTTGCTTTGCTTGCTCTTTTTTTGTCTTCCACTTTAAGGAAAAAAAAAATTGTGACCTTTAAAATAACCAGTGAATCATGGTGGGACTCTGACCAGTTCTCATCACCTGGCTTTTTCCTCCCTTACTATTTTAGTGCTGTACTTAACCACCCTCAACCCCCTTCAGTTTTTTACTTACTGAGTTTATCTAATTCAATTGAAGGCTCTTTTCTTTATATTTGGGCACATCCGTTATGGTCCTTCTTCTTTCCTGTCTTTCCTCTAGTTCTTCCCCAGTTGCTCCTTCTCATTCGTGAAATGAATGATCGCAATCATGGCTATTAAGTATAAGAGTGCTAGTGTTTTGCTTATGCTGAAAGAAAGGGAAGCCATAAAATTTGAGGCGAAGTAAAACATAATAAAGAACCAGGGTCATCAGCCTTATAAAGCTTTTGAAATTTCCCTGAAACCCCCTCTGAATCACTACTGAAACCTCCCATAAAACCTTTTCCCTCAAGTGCCAGCTTCTAAAATAAGTTAAATTACATATTATTAAAGTTTCTTGGTTTTCTGTATTGTTTGGTTGATTCATCAGTTTTCTACTAATTTTATTGAGATATATCACATTTTAACTACATTATGATTTTGATGACTTCTTGTGAGTTTGTCTGAGAGTTGAACTGAACATTGATTCCCTGGGAAAATATGTTCCCAGTTCTAAACAACTGAATTATAATCAACCTTTGAACCTATCCATTTGTAGGTTGCGGATGGTCCATTTGTCTTGCCTATTCACAGATTTCTCTGTTTTACTTCTTTCTGTGTTACATGGTGAAAATGAAATTGATTGTCTTTTCTGTGGTTCCCTTCTCTCATCTGTACTTCTTTTCTGGAAACAGGAAATCTGGGCTACCTAAGGAGGAAACTACCGGGTTGAGCATTGATGAATTAGGTGCCTTTTGCATAATAGTAGCTCTTGTTTATGGAGCATTTTTTCCAAGTAGCAGGCACTTTGTGAATGTTATTTCTAATGCTAATTCTTGGGTTAATTATTTACATTTAAGAAACTAAGGATTAGAAATGGTAAGTAATTTGCTCAAGGTCACAGAGCTACTGAGTGGTGGGCTACTTTAAATTTAGGGTCATTTAGCTCCAAAGAGCATGGATTTTTCAATATACTTTGGAAAACTAATGGTATTAGAGGTTGAGAGCTAAAATTTGAGTTACCACTTTGTGTAAAATAGTATAAGGCACTTAATCATGTTATATGTGGGATTTAAGAATCAGACAGCCCCTTATCATTGACAGGGTGAGAGACAGTTAAGACTTAATATGTTACTTCTATGTACTTGTTTTTTGGGCTTCCTTGTCTCCCTCATTCTCACTCCTGATTTTTTCCTTTTGACCTCTCTTAAGTTTAAAGATACAGGACTATTGATCCCCAGTTTATCTTTAACCCCAGAGATAGGCAACAGCAATCAGTAAGCTTGATTTGCATTAAAGTTTGAGCTTTTTACTGGATCAAAGGTCCTTAATACAATCAAGCCAAAATTGATTCTTAAAAGGAAAAGAATTTGTAAATCTAAACCCTGTTCTTTAACAACTTCCAGATTACTCTGATTGTTTTCTTTTCTTCTGCCTGTCTTCCTTACAGTCACAAATCGTACCCAATTTAAGAAAAATTTTTTTGATCCTCAGATCCACCATACTCCAAACCTGCTTCTCCCACGGTTTCTACATCTCGGTAGATGTCACTCCATTCACTCAGTGGCTAAAGCTAAAATCCAAGATCTATCCTGGTGCCTTTTCCCCTGTCATCCTGTTGTCAGTCTATCAGTAGATACTGTCAAGTCTTCATTCAAAATATCTCCCATATTCACTACTCACTATCTTGACTACCAACACTCTCCTCCAAACTACCATTGTTCTTGCAGGGACTATAATAGTTTTCCTGCTTCTTTTCTTAAACACTTCAAAGCCATTCTTCACATAGCAGTCAGTGTGATATTTTAAAACTCTAAATAATACAGACACACCCCATCTCATCCCACCCAATTGATCCCAGCTTTAAACCCGTTAATGACTTTCCATTGCACTTAGATAAAATTAAAATTCCTTACTGTGACTACAAGCCCCAAATGATTTGACACCTGCCTTTCTCTCCAATCTCATTTTATACTACTCCCTTCCTTGCCTACCATACTTCAGTCACACTGGCTTTGTTTTTTTAAATTTATTTATTTTTGGCTGCTTTGAGTCTTTGTTGCTGCGCATGGACTTTCTCTGGTTGTGGCGAGCGGGGGCTACTCTTCGTGGCTTCTCTTGTTGCGAAGCACGGGCTCTAGGCGCACGAGCTTCAGTAGTTGTGGCTCGCAGGCTCTAAAGCGCAGGCTCAGTAGTTGTGGTGCACGGGCTTAGTTGCTCCGCGGCATGTGGGATCTTCTGGCACCAGGGCTCGAACCCGTGTCCCCTGCATTGATAGGCGGATTCTTAACCACTGCGTCACCAGGAAAGTCCCTAAACTGGCTCTCTTGATTACATCAAACTTCAGGGCCTTAGAATAAGATTTTTTGGGGTGGGGTGGGAAGCCTGGAATACTCTTGCTGATACCTTCACATAGATGGCTCCTTGTAGCCTTTCATATCTTGGCTTAAATGTCATGTCTTCAAGAGAAGACACTCTAACATTACCACTCAGTAATTCTGTTTTATAACTATATTCCAAATCTCTGCAAAGTATTCATGCCTTTTGGATATTTTTCTTGTTTTTTAACTTTTTCCTCAATGTGTTATTTTGAAAATTTTAAATCATACAACATTTTGAAAGACTTTTACAATGTATACCTATATACCCAACACCAACACTCCACTATTAATCTTTTGCTAGGTTTGCTTTATCGCTTATCTATCCATTGGTTAACCATTTTAATTTTGGTGCATTTCAAAGTACATTGCAAATATCAGGATGCATCCCACTAAATACTTCAACATAGATGTCTTTAACTTAATTCAGTATTTGTATACAATTTGATTATCTTGAGGCAAAATTTATATACAGTAATATGAACAGGTCTGAAGTGTGTATTTGCTGATTTTGATATATGCATACCCACCCTGTGTAACCCAAAACCCCACTAAGACGTTGGACGTTACTGTCACCCCAGAAAGTTCCCTCATACTCCTTCCATGTCAGTATCACCCCCTCAGATTTAGAGACAACCTGCTCTAAACTTTTATACTAATTATTTGATTTTTAAAAATTCAGATAAAATTTAAATAGTATAAAATCTGGCCTCTCAAAGTGTACAATTCAGTGTTTTTTAGTATATGCACAGGATTAATGAACCATCACCACAGGCTAATTCCAGAACATTTTCATTACCCCTAAAAGAAACTCTCTATCCATTAATATTCACTCCTTGTTTCCTGGCCCCTGACAATCACCAATTTACTTTCTGTTTCTATGGATTTACCTATTGTGGATATTTCATATAAATGGAATCATAAAACATGTGACCTTTTGTATCTTTTATGTTTTCAAAGTTCATCCATGTTTTACTATATATCAATACTTCATTCCTTTTA